AAAAAAAAAGTGTCCTTAAATATGCCCTAAAGGTCCAGATTAAAAATTAAAAGTTTCTCAATTGTTAGACTTTCAATTTTTAATATTAAACTTTAAATCCTAAAAATATAAACTTCAAACTAAGTCCTAAACCTAAAAAATCTAGACTCTAACACATTAAATAGTTAACTTAAAAAAAATCTAAACCCTAATAACTTAAACTTTAAATCATTAAAATTTTTAAATCTTAACACAATAAAATATTGAGGCTTTAAAAAATCTAAATTATAATACTCTGATCATTAGTTATGAAAATTTTGAAACTCACACTTGAGACACTAAAATAATAAAAAAGAAAATATGGACTAAAATTAATCTGAATTACTAATTGTGGGATCATATATTTTACCATAAAATAAAAAAAGTCAATCACCCTAAATATTTTAGGGAGAAGGGAAAACTAGAACATTTTAATATTAAAAATTAAAATTAAAATTTTTATTTTTATTTTAATTATAGATATTATGTGTTAATTTTTTATTAATTTTTAATTAAAAATTATTCTTTAAGTTCAATTTTTATTTTTTTAAAAAGTTATAATTATTATTTAATAATTGATCATTATCTGTACCATTAAAGTAGAGGATAAATAAACTCAATCATTGTTTTAAAAAAAAAAAAGATGAAAGCAAAAACGATGATTTTGGAACTTTAAGGTTACTTTCAATTTAGTCACCTATTATTTTACGTAAAACTCTATGTTAAACTCCTATAAATTATCCATTAAACTCTTAAATTTTTATTAAAACAAATAAGCCCTTAAAGTTAGTGATTTGGGCAATTTAACCATTTTCTTTACAATAAACTTAATGTATGTCTGTGCCTTGCTTGTGTGAATAAAGTATTAATATGTCATTCCATATGTGGTGGATATTAACCTTATTCATGAAAGTAAGGCATTAAGTTCATACTAAGAAAAAGGGTTAAATTGCTCAAATGATTAAGTTCAAGACTTATTTGTTTCAATAAAAGTCAAGGGTTTAATTAGGGATGTCAACGGGGTTCCACGAGGCCAAGGAGTCCCTCCCCATCCCTGTCCCCGCAAATGGTGGGAACAGGGATCCCCGTAGGGATTTTTGATGAGGGGCAGATTTTGCTCTCCATCCCCATTCTTTACCAATTAATATTAAAATATAATTTTTTTTGCATATAATTACTTAATATTCAATTATAATGAAAAAAATTTTAAAATTTCAAATATAATTAACTAGAGTTCTTTAAATATAAAATCAAATATAAATTGTCGAAATAAATAAAGATTAATTCAACATAAATAGCTAAATCAACAAACTTATTGATGATGGGTTGGGTTAATTTTAATGGGTTAGGTTGGGTAAAATTGAGTTAAATTTAATTTTTATTGGATTGGATTTGGGTTTGAAGATTGAATTAAATTTAAAATAAAATTAATTATATATTTTTGTAATTTTTGCAGGGATGGGTATCCTCGCAAGGCGAGGAAATTTCACGAGGAGAAAATGCCCTAGGTGGGGAGGAATATTCTGTCCTCGTGGCGAGGATCCCGGTGGGGCTTTGTGAGGATCGGGGCAAATTGTCATCCCTAGGTTTAATCAAGAATCTACGATAAGTTTGGGAATTTAATATAGGTTCTCACCTAAATTTTGAGAGTGGTTATGTCTATACAAATTTTATTTAGTTAATTAATATTT